AAGATGCTGAGTTATCATGCATGAACCTTAATATCAATTACCTCTTCACATTATCTACACTACTACTTATCATTAGGTAATTGGCTGGTGTTCCCACAGCCAACACGCAGTGATTAATGCAGCGATAGCACCGGGAAATTGTCGTGTTGTCAAGGCCTGTCATACTGAGTGAGGCTCTGAAGATAACCTCTTGGGGTCAGTGCAAGGGCGAGATAACCCAGGACGTAAATTTGTATTGAATTTTCGTTGAATATATCTGAAACGTTTGTTGGATAGTGATTAGTTATGTGTATTCTTGGTTGATAACATTATCAGACAAGTGTCTATTTTTTACATTCACTTTCACTAGGCTATTTCACACACCTAAAACTCCTCCCACGGAAATACCTCACCCTTCCCAGACAATAAGCTGCTGTTTTCAAATGGATAGACCACACTATTCGAAGGATGAAACCATTTTAATGGGCTTGTACCATTGATCGTCAGGAGTTAAAATGTCGTTCTCAAAGGGATACCATGTTTTTCCTATTGTGTGAAGAATGATATATATATATATATATATATATATATATATATATATATATATATATATATATATATATATATATATATATATATATATGTTGATAACCACATCTTCAAGGGTCTGTACTCACCCCTGAAGATGTGAATTACACGAAAGCGCTTGGGAACTTGTGTTTTCTTTCCTTGTGGTTATCAGCATATACCTAGATCACGCGCACCTACAGTGATTTACTTGTATATATATATATATATATATATATATATATATATATATATATATATATATATATATATATATATATATATATATATATATATATATATATATATATATGCATCATTGTATGCTCACACGCACGCCATATGAATGAGTTTGAGCCTGGGCACACAAGGCATAATAATTACTGGCTTACAGTATAAGCATTTCCGTCCGTGATAGCCGGGTAGGGGTCGATGGCAGCTACAAAGAACCACACTACAAAAAATCAAGGGGGGGGGGGGGTATACTTCATTAAGCTACTTTTAATTCAACGCTGACAATTAATCTTTAATCATAATATGTAAAGAAGTAGCCTACTAAGTTAATAACTATTGTTTTCTGTTTCACAATTCATTAAATCACCCACTTCACTATTCCCTCACTGGATTACAACTTGCTCACCTAATAGAGGAGCACAGCCTGTCAGGCATTATTTTGTTTTTTATCTTCAGAATTCAGAAGTTTTCGTGAATCACCAACGTAACTGAGCAAAAAAAGTCACATGTTCTCCTGGGTGTGCCTTTACGTTACAGAGTACAGTAATGTATGAACAAATATGTTACCACCAACAATAAATGATAGCTGCTAAAAGGAAAAGGTTTTAATGGTCCCACCTGTCAGTATGGTCGTACTGCGAAGTAGGAATATTAATTAAATACCAGGTTCATATTCATTTTTATCATAATAGGTATTTCGTAGCAAGGTTAGGTTAGGGTAGTGAGTTTGGTTAGGTTAGGGTAGGTTAGGTTAGCCCCCTCCCGATAGGTATACATGCCAATAGAAGGTTAGCCTCTTTTGGTATGAGAAATTATTTTTCTGGTGTATTTTGTGATTTTTAGTTGATTCTGAAAGTCGTTTCTTGTGGAAATGAGCCATTTTGGGTGTTTTTTTATTCCTCGTAAAAATCGAAAAAAAATATTCATTTCGGCAAGAAACGAATGTCAGAGTCGATTAAAACACCAAAATACACTAGAAAAATAATATCTCGTACCAATTGGAGAAATTGGGATAAAAACGAATTTTTACCACCTATAGTCATTTATAACATCTTACTTTACTAAATAAGCGATGTCCTATCACTTCTTAAGACAATAAAATTACATTAAAAAGTCTTTGCCCACGTCATAAAGGCTGGTAAGAAGAAGACATTATTATTATTATTATTATTATTATACTTTTTTACTTTTACTTTTATCCTCTCCACCACTGATCGGCTCGTTAGCCGCTTGGGTGATCGTGTCACGTCTCTGTCACGCACTGTTGGCAAGTACTGGGCATGCACCGGCTCCTGAATGTACCTGAACCTGCTCCAGTGTTGATCAAGTTTGGTCTTGAAAGATCTTGTGGGGTACGTGATGTTTGGGTTCACACTCAGGATGGGATGGAAGAAGGAAACTCACAATGTGCTCTCTGTATACATATTGTATTGGATGTACAGTGCAGTTTGGAGGGCGGCATAGTCGCCGGCGGGAGCGAGGACCGCCAGGCAGGAGGAGGAGGAGGTGTTGCTTGCTGGTTGGTGTAGGTAGAAAGAGATAGGTCACCACGAGGTCAGGTCTTATATAGTGGAGGTAGGCGTGGCTTAATAGTTGACCTCCGCCATGTAAGGCGGCGCTGGTTGACCTAGACCACGAGGCATACACTGGGGAATTCGCGGGGTTGGCTACTCAGCGACAAGCGTTTGTAGGGGAGGAATCCACTACAAGCTCACACTCGGTGACGTCACTACACTTTCTGGTAGACAGTATGTATGTTGAGTCCAAGTGTATCGTGGCCAAACATCCACAAAAGAAACATAGTACAACTCCCTGTCGGTACAGTTTGTTGCCAGTACCCCGTAGCTAGACTTTTCTCGCGAATTATTGCATGTTGGTACTCAGTGATTTGGACAAACGTCATGTGCAACCAAGTTCCGCCCAGAACATATTGGCAATAAGCTGTGTCTGCATTACTGAATACTAAGCACTAATTTACCAGGACTACCAGGATGGTCAACAGGTTTTCTCCGTCCCACTATGTTGCAAATATACTACATTGAGTATAATATCTTTGTAGTAAATATCAGTGTGCATTTACCTTCATCGATGTGAACACTGCCAGGTCCATGGAAGTTACAGTGGCTGCAGGACTCTTCTTGTGTGCTGGCATCCATCGTACAATGATACCATCAGTTATTACATTATTTATTTTCAGAGAAATGAAAGATATATCGGGAGCGAGAGTACAGTAAAATATGATGCTTAATTGAATTGTAACAGAATTAAATTGTAATAGTTTATTTAGCCAGAAAAACACAGATACAGAGTGGATAATAACAATATTAACATGGCTGAGCCAGTTGAGAACCTGAGCTCTCTTTGAGGCACCTCATATATACTATACATTTATCTCAAGGAAGTATTATGTAACATTTAGTATCATCTGGAATAGTACAATAGCATGGTGGTAATAAGTACATCTCCTGATGTTACCACGGTTATCACTTCAATATTTATTTATTTTATTATTTATTATTTTTATTTTATTTATTTACTTATTTATTTTTTATTTATTTTATTTATTTATTTATACATACATATACACATACCCATACATATATACACATATATATACACACATGTACATATATATATATATATATATATATATATATATATATATATATATATATATATATATATATATATATATATATATATATATATATATATATATATATATATATACATACATACATATATACACACACATACATATAAATTAGAGTGGAATTTAAAAACATAAGTATAAATCTATCGGTTATGTTAACTTAAACTGAACAAAAAAAATTTGTAATAATCAGAATTTCTACTAAACTTGCATATTACTTTTTTTATTGTTTCTTGCTTCAAATATTGAATCGGCTTTCAGCTTTACGTGTATTTAGTTGTTACAAATTGCATGTATAGGTTTATAGATACTAAAGTAGGGAAGTTGCAGCAAGAAAGTTAGTTAAAAACTTATAATTCATTATACAGTGTACTGTATTTCCAGTGGGGGACAGTCCTCGCAAAAAAAGGGCGGGGAAATTGCCATATAATAAAACTGATATTTTCTCACTGCTATTTTAAACTTTGTTGCAAGTAACTGGAAAGCATTTGCTTAATAAAGCAAAAGGCTGATTGATGCTTGTTAACTAGATTCCTGGAAATTTGGCGTTGGTGGAAGTCTGTATCTCCATGCCTCAAATATTTTTTTTGTATAATGCTGTATTTCATTATTCATTGTAATCTTGCAATGCATAACTATTCCATATTCCGGTACTGGATATATAAAGGAGCATGTGAACAAAGGCGTGGTGAACCGAGACCAAGAAGCTATGGGTCAGCTCATGGTCCATGGATCAGCGGTAATTTTCGTGACGTCATATGGTTCGATGTAGACCCACCCATCGTTGGCAGTAGTCCTGCGCCGCTCAACTCGGACCATGTCTCTCCCTAACACCAGTTGACAATTACACTTTCCAAAGGTATTTTTATAGACTCTCAGCCACGCTATATATGATAAAATCACAAAAATTAAACAATGTAAAAATATATATGCATTTCATGAATGGTAATATGACTTAAAACAACACAAGCAAAATTAATTGTTCGAAAAAGAAGCAGATCCACATTTGGCAGCTTAACCGATATGTGCCAACTACCATTAATAAAATAAGTTATCCATTGCAGATATATCTCAATATTTTAATATATTTAAAGTTATTTATTTTGTGGCAAGTTTGTAATTGAATATAAAACCGTTTTAATGACAAATTAAATAGTTCTTTAAAGATTATCTGGTCATTTCTAATGTATATAGAAACGGATTACAAAGTAAAGTTTCTGTTTAGTAATAAATTGGTTAGAAAAATCCGTGCCTGGATTATAAGCCATTTGTTAGAGCCAATTCCAAGGTAGATAATATGGTTCCGATAAAATAGGCATACTATTCGTCAGAAATATATTGAAGTAGACATATTTTAGGTGTTGATTATTACAGAACCCAAAATCACACAAACCGACTATTGAAAAGGTGGTGGCAGCAGAGTCCCTGTATGCTGAGCTCTATCATGTGTTACCACTCTGAATTATTTTGTGTACTGCTCCCTCGCCTGACAGCTTTCCATGGCAGAGAACCATTGAGCGTCCTGGCTGCCCCTTGGTGAGTGAAAGGTTTGCTCAGCTGATCAGTCCACTGTTGCTCGGCTCGGGGCACACACAGTGGTTGGTGCCCAGACCTGTTCTCACGTTATTTCATTACCATTAGAAAGTATGATATGGAAAGTGATTATATATTAGTGTATGACAATTTTATCTCGAGTTGTCGTTTATATATAAGGGAATCGCAGTGTAATGTGAGTGATAGTGGTTAATAAGGAATGTTAAGAAGAGTAAGAACATATCTAACAGAAGTAATAAGTCGTATTTCATCAGCGTTGTTGTACCTCTTATTTGGTCAAGCTTTTGGTACATTACCTTACTGGTTCTTCATCCGAGAGGTGGAACAAGTGTTTATGGATGACCAAGATACACATGAAGCATTGCCAGGTAACGGAAGTAATCGTTATCCAGTGACATGAACTTACTACTTATTGGATAACCATTATCTATTTGTGGTTATGTATTAGGGGGCAGAATGAATCCCGTAAATATAGGTGTTCAATGGGGGTCCTACAAAAAATTGGTAAACTTAATTTAATCTGAGTTAATAGATCAAGTGCATGTACCTAACCTAACACAACACAACTCAGATTAAATTAAGTTTACCAATTTTTTGTGACTTCGTGACACCAAATACCAGTCGAGAAGTGATTCACAGCCTGATTTATGCTTGTAGGACCATTATTTGACTTCATTGCGGCTACATTTGGGTAATTAGTCGGACCGGTTCAATGGTGTTCTCTATTTCAGTTGTATTGTTCTAAGCTGCTGTGTGTAAAGTACTTAGTCATGCTCTTTACATAAATTTATTATGATGCTCAGTGGCTCATTCATGTAGCACAAATTACCCAAATATGGGTATTGTCTTACTTTCACACAACCACTTAGGAATTTCGTCTTTGCAATCAATAGTTTAGACAATTCTAAGACACTTTTCGTCTATGACTTTTCCCTCGCAAAGAGGTGAGATAAGGTTATGTTAGGTAAGATAATTTTTAGGTAATTTGTGAGGGAATCGTCAAAGAAGAAAAGTGTCTTAAAATTGTTTAAACTATTG